CATGTATCACATGTTCCAGTCCAAAATGTGACATTTCAATATCAATTCATTAATTACATTTTGCAGATGACTATGACAAAGTTAGAAGGAAACTGATTTAAAAAGAGGTGCACCTTATGACCAACGTATAAGCCAAAATCATCAGTATTCTGTGAATCATTGCCAGAAAAATAATAATTTATCCAAGGTGTTGCAAGTGACCACCTCTGATGACACCCGAGAGAGATGCCGCTGCCCTGACTGTTGGGCAGTATGTCGCAGCAATTTATGATGGGGAGTGATTTGTTGGAAAGATCTCTGATGGGGACGAGGATGAAGAGGTGGAGGTGTGTTTTATGGAGAAACACAAGCAGTTGCTACAATGGCCCTCTAGAGAAAATAAAATCTGGCTAAAACACGACACCATTTAAACCGTCTTTAATTGTTTTATTAAAAGGCGCATTTGGTTTGTGTATTTTTTATGAATTGACATTGATAAAATTTAAATAATTTAAATGTATTAAAACTGATAAATGCCAAATGAAATGCATTTTACATTAAAAAGATCTTTTCTACTAACATTTTAGTTTTATCAAATAATGATAGCATTTTACATCAAGTGTATGACAATCCAGTGAAGGTAAATAGCCCACATGTACTTATATGTCAGGTTACATTAAATTTCTGAGTTACAGTCATATAAGACTCTGCTGTGCTTGCTGTATTCTTCAAAGTGGAATTGTTTAGGAAAGCTTATTAAAAGACAGTTTGAGTCTTAGGAGATGGGGACTTGCTTGTCATAAACAACAAAGAATTATTTACTTTACAAAAGACCCCAAATCTTTACTTCGATACAGATCAGTACTATAGTAATTAACAGTCAGGTGTAAACAGGGCTCTTTCCAGGGGCGGATCCAGAGCTATTTACTGACAGTCTTCTAAATTATCTTTGTTGATCCGTCCTGTATTTTTGACCGTCTTCCGAGAGAAAAAATTAGATATCCGTCAATGTAAACTTGAAAATCTGACCGTCTTCCGGAAGACCCAGAAGACGGCCTCAATCCGCCCCTGCTTTCTTGCTAGCAGCACATCTTGTAGGCTGAGCATTTCAGATAGTTGTCGGCCAATTGAAAATTGTCCCCCTAATTAGGGTGAGTGTCAACTAAGACTTTGGGAGTAGAATTTCCTTTAGTGTTTCTTAAGACATGACAGTTTGATACTTTACTGTGTATAAATCTTATGTTCTTGGGCTATCACCCTTTTCTACTGTTAATTCCTATCTAGTTTATTCTTATTTAACAAAAGCTAATTAAATAAGCCGTAGGTTTCTGTGTATTTTACCAAAATGAAAGGTACATATCAACTAAGCGTGGTGAAACATGGATTCTCAGTAATGCTTATTAACCACTTCTACTAGTTCCTTATACAACAAAAAATCATTTGATCAGCATAAAAGAGCTTTGAACTGCTCCTTTTTTAAAATTTTGGCTGAAAATTTAACATACAAGTACATATCTTACTTACTTATCTGCCTGGATTATATGTGGCATAGCAAGCTAGCAGAAAATATTGTTCAAATATTTTTCGGGCAGTATTAAATGATGTGTTGCGGTAATTATCTTAGTACTATTCAAAATTTATACTGGTAATTGGTGAGCTTTTGTGGCAAAAATTTGCCTCATATGCATCCTGAAATTGATAAAATGTTGATGTACTAGGTATATACATGAAAAATGCAATTTTCCGTTATTAGAACCCTTTCTGCAGTCATTTGGGCAATTTGTCAGAAGGTGAAATGCTTTTAATTGAATTCACTATAATCCAGTGAAGTTAAATAGCTAAGGTAGTCCTATAATATTTGTCAGATAATATAAAATTTAAAATTGTGAGTTGTAGTAACATTAAGCTTTGCTTAGCTGTAATTACTCTTAAAAGTGGAATTGTTCAGCTAAGCTTGTCCCAAGACAGTTTGTGTCTTAAGGGATAGATACTCGTTTGTTGTTAAAAGGATAATAACTCTTCGTATGAGATGTATATTTCACAATAAAAACATTGTGAATAACTCATATAAATATAATATATTGTTTTACCACAAAAACGGCAGTTATAGCTATTATTCTGATATCTGAGCTTGTCTTTAGACCACGTGACCTCCATTGATGGCTATACTCTGTTAAAATCTCTTAAGAAACCAAACTTTTTAGAAAAAAAAAAAAAAAAAAAACAGAGACTAACTTTGAATGTAAAAATGGATTCATTAACCATTGGTAAGTATGGGAAAATTGTTGTTTACTACAGGAAAATTCATTTTTTGGCCAAAACGAAGAGTCCCTTTAAATGCTTCTCTAATTAGGAAGTAGGAATTTAAAAGAGAGACCCAAAAGAAAAGACCTTTTCCTGAGAATACCAAAGAGTTGGATGTACAGAATATTGAAGCAACAGCTATATGTGACATGTCTGACACAAAAACACAACTAATAGAAGTTTGTGAAAATGACAATGGCAAAGAAACCTGTGGTTCTAACTTCTCAAAGAAGAGTTGAGTAATGGAGTGCACTGTGATGGTAAACATACAAATGTAGTGACAGTGATGATGGGGATGATGATTTCAATGGAGATACCTGTGATGACCCAGGTGACAAACCAATTTACCCTGCTCATTACTTGACAGTGCGCCTTAGTATTTTGCTCATTTTTCTGTATGCCACTGCCCATGCAATTACTGGGAGTCAATGAAGTGATCTTCTCATGCTTGTCAGTGTACACTGCTTGCTGGGCTAAAGAGTTTATTTTTTATAAGAAGTACTTCTCAGGAATGTCATCCCCTGTAGTGATGATTTTTTATGTTCATTGATAGTTGGTGGGTTACATCATAATTCAATATTGGTCCAAATCTGCCTAAACCATGAAAACCATATGAAGTTTTCAAATGCCTATATCTTGCTAACTTCAAAAAACAAGTAAATTTCTATTTCAATAAAATTTTTGTAAACTGTAAGCAAATGGACACTTTTTTTTCAAACTTCTTGCAAACTGTAAGTTAATGTCTAAGTTTCTTGCAAACATATCGCAAACTGTAATTAATATATTGTCTAAGTTTCTTGCAAACATCATGCAAACTGTGAGTCATTGTCCAAGTTTCTTGCAAACTTCTCGCAAATGTCAACCTGCGAACAGTTTCTTGCAAACTATTTGGTTTGCAGCAAATTTGCTGACGCCATTGTATGTCATCGATTTGTGTGTAGCAGCCAGCGTCAGTTAAAGTGCTGCCATATTTATGAACACATACAAAGGAGTCAGAGAACCACTTATATTGTTTTTAACGTTATTTTTGTTTAATTTGTTGTTAACTATGTTATGGAGGACTTGTACAGAGAAGCGTTGGAGGGAGACATAAGATGGAGATACGAGGAGAAAATTGGTGACATCGGAAAGGATCCATATGAGATTCAGAATAAAGAGTTTATCAAGTACAAGAAATTGTGGTAATGTCTTTCCGATGTATAGATGCCTTCTTTTTTTTAAATATTTTTCCTGTAGTTGGAACATCCATACAAATGAATTTGAGAGCTGGACTTTCAATCAGCAAATAAAAAGCGGAGGGATAGCTTAGCACCCATCCATCCCATAAAGGACCAGATAATATTCAGTCACCCATAAAACATGAGATTGAAGCAGTCTACAGTGTTCTGTGGAAAAAAGGAATTGCTGTTGCCCTGTCTGTGTCAAAGGATTTTGCTGCCAATTTTCAACCCAAGTCACTGGCAGGTGATTGGCCAATTGACCTTAAGTCAGTCAGAAAAGACAGTTTTAGGGATGCCTCATATCAGGAGATACTGGCACATGCAGACAGTGTGGACATTAATGTGACCCCATCACAGGCATCATATGTGGTAAGCGTAACACGTGAGCAAGTGAAGTCTGCGAAGTGGGGTAAGTACAGGGTTGGCTGCATCACAGCCTCAAGAATATATGAGGCCACATGCACCACCACAGACACTCCCTCTAGGTCCCTTGCAATAGACATACGCTGGCAAATATATGCCATTTAAGAGTGTACAGACTGGCTGGGGTATCAGGAAGGAACCAGTTGCCAAGGAGTATAGCAAGCAGATGATTCTGCAGCACAACAATTTCACCATGCAGGATAGTGGTCTGGTGCTTCATCCAGAGTATCCAGAGTTTGGAACCAGTCCTGATGCCACTGGCAGCTGTTGTGGCTCTATGCTCTTAAAGGTAAAGTGCCCCTCCAGCCTGAAGGATTCTGAGATCATTGACATGCCATATTTGAAGGACAAAAAGTTGAAAAAGGAAAGCAAGTAGTTTTTTAAGTGCAGATGCAACTGTTTATAACAGACAGCAACTACTGTGACTTTTTTTATCTGGACTTAATGTGATTTTAATTCTGTTCTTTTCAAAGATGCCAGGAGAGAGTTTTTGTTGTGTGGTCTCATGTAGTGCCTCCTCACAGAAATGCAAGGGTCTTTCTTTTCACAGCTTGCCTAAGAAAGGTAAAATTGATAAATAATTATAATTAAGAAAACCATTATACCATAACCTCTTCCCACCTTTTCCTCAAATGAATAACTAACTACTTTCTCAAGAATTATTAAATAAAATGTTATTTCAAGATGGATGTCATAATGCACATTTTATACCTTCAGAGCAGGACCTCCATGCCTGTTTATATGCTAGATTGTTGATTTCACAAAGAAACTCCCATTCCCAAGTAAAACACTTTCTCTACTTCTATGAATAAATCATTTTATATCCACAGGGGTATCTGAGGTAACAGATGGATGGAGTACCCAAG